GTCTGTTCAAATATGTTGAAAACATAAAACAGTTACATGGGGTGAATGTATTTTTTTTCACAAAACTGTAAATGTTATAATTATCCATCTCATTTATCAGCCAGATTTCTAAGAAAATAAATATTAAGAATTAGTTTTGGCAGTTTTGTAAAGGGATCTATCACGAGATGGCAAGTAGAAGTTTGGAAATAATCCAGTCATCAAGTGATCTTTAAACTTCTGCTGGCCAAATACACAGACACATTGTATTTGGCAGGCAGACACCTAAGGAACAACTTGAAATGATAGTCTCCCATTAGAACGCTTGAAACCTAGACTTTAGCTTTACAAACCCTTCAATATTGGCTTGAGGATGTGTACACCATGCTAAGGTGCACAACAGATAGCCATAGTCACCTGATACGGAAACTATAAAACATATAATTGCTAGAAGCCATTAAGAATACCACAACACTTTTTTTTCTGTTTTTTTTTCATGTAAATCTCTTCACCAACAAGACAACAGTAAGGTGAGGGTATTAGACAGACCCCTCCTTTTCTACTGTACTGTACTGTTCTACTGTATATCAGAGCCACTACCTACTACCACTTCTCTATTGCTAAGGTCTGTAAACCGTATTGTGGGAGCTGTGTTTGACTTTCCAAGGGGTTTCCTGTATGGAGCAGGTCAATCCAACATTGGGGCCCCCTTCACAAGGAATACATAGCATTATTGTGAACAGTTCCAAAGATAGCCACTGCACTCTATGTGTGAGATAAATGCCCAGGTGGTCACCCACAAAGAAATCCATATAATCCAAAACTGGTTTAGAGGTACTCATGGGTCTTACATAGGAAGAAGGAGGTCTTCCTCCTCCACAAGACCCGTGAGTGCCTCTAAACCAGTTAAGCATTATTGTGATGTAGAGCCACTTAACTTTTTTATTCTTATTGCTTTATCAATAGTATAATGGCACTTTACCTGTTAACAAAATAACATTTCTAATCTTGAAAAAAATACCTTTAACATTCTGTGTGGTGACAGTGGTTAAAAGTCAATAATAACGTATTTTTTTAGGTTAATGTCATGTGAAAACAGTAGGTTGCAATATAAGGCATCTATGCAGAGGCAAAGACAAAATCAAGCATTTCTATAGATGTAGTACATTGCATGTTTCACAGCTGGCATATTTCAACTGTGCTACCAAAGGCTTGCGTTATCTGATGTTTGAATTTGTTTTTTGTTTTTTGTTTTCCTTAGTGTGACAACGCAAGGGGACTAAAATCATTTTATGATGCTATCAAGTATGGACCTAATCATTTGATGGTTTTTGGTGGAGTATGCCCCTCAGTAACCTCTATAATTGCAGAATCTCTCAAAGGATGGAACTTGGTTCAGGTAAGATCCTGGTCATTTATTTTATGAAAAGTTATAAGGATGTCATATATTAGGTATTTTACCATGATGCCTATATTAAATGGGAAACGTTTCTATGATAAAACTAAATTTCAAATGAGCAGACATTTGGCTTATGTAATAAAGACCAGATATGATGTTCAGTGACCTACTGGTTTTAGTTGACTGAATTCAAACTACTGAAAGCTGAATTATGTTTGGTTGTTTTGGGTTGCCCTATTTGTTGTTACCCTGCTTTTGCTAGAGTGTGTTTACAGATGAAGAACTCTTAAAATTATATTTCAGAAAATGCAGATTACAGTAATTTAAAAAAAAGTATTAAGAGATTAACAGGCTCTTTTTTTTTTCAAATGTCGGGGCTTATTCTGCCCTTGTATCTATGCTTTCTATCTGCTGTGTCCCATAAGAACATCATTTTTGCAGGAAAGCAAGTGGACTTAGCTTTGAAATTTGAGAAGGTGGGGCCAGGGTCTGAGGGAGCAGAAGATAATCATGCTAACAATGATGGAATTGCTTTAAACATTTAGAAATTATTACAATTTTGCTTTAAATTAAAATGCCTATAAACATCTCCAAACAAAGTATATTCTCTCATTCTTGTATTTAGCTATATATTGTAATGCAGCTAAAAATGTAGCATAACTAAATACGTTAGAAAAGAAAGTGTTGTTGATGTTAAGAAGTTGATTGATTGATTGGTTTTTATGTGACATCATACATAGAACTTATTTCAGGCATTTTATTAATCACTGCAGCTTTAATACCTTTCTACCCCTTGTGGACCAGAACAATTTTTGCATTTCCACTATGAGTTTATTTATTTAGTGATAACTTAAAGTGAAACATCACTCTCCAAATTATCACTTTTTTAATCATTATGATGCTAGAATTAGTAAATAGATAGGAAAGTATATTATATTTTCTTGTTTGAAACTTTTTTTTTTTACATTTCTTCAGTTGCTTTCTGGTTTCCATGCCCAGGCAAATGATGTCATACATCCCAGGAGTCTTCAGGAATGGAGAAGGGGAGGAGGAGTTTTTTTTAGCTAAGCACACCCTCCTTGATGCCTAAGCTAAGGGAAGATGAACTAATTGAAGTAAATGTTACTGCCCTTACTCAAGATGGCAGCAGCTAGAAATACTAGGGGATATTTTTTAAAGTGATTTCTCAGCAAAATAAAGCATGGAGACATGGATGGATGGGGAAGTTTGCTTTGAATAATAGAATTAAATAGCGTTTTTGGTTTGTGGTGCTCAGAAACAGTGTCATTCTGCTTTTTGGTAGAAATATTTTTTAAAAAAATTAATACGTAAGTACATTATTTTTTTGTGTGGACAAACTGTGATTCCATTTGGCAACACCGTCTTGCAAAAATTGTTTAAATTTCAAAGTAATCAATGATCAAAAATATTTAAAATAATTAAATAAATGTTTTATTTCTATTTTGACCAGTGATAGTTTTCAAAAATAAGTTTTATTATAAAGAAAAAGTACATTTTTTGCTATAATTTGTCTTGTTTGACAGATAAACACTAAAATGATGTTTGTGGTGCAAAGCATAGCAAAATTATTTGCAAAAAAAAAGTTTTTTGGGGGGAGGGGTTATAACGTATATTGTACATCTCTTTATGAGAATCAAATTAAATAACAAAGTGAATAATAATGAAAAAATGTAAATATTATGAGTATAAATATGTAATGTTTCGTTATGTAATGTCATATGCAGATCAGAGGTCACACCACTTTTCCAAACTGCTGAACTCTGAAAAGCTTCTTAAAACTCTAGTTGTCTGGCTGTTATACTAATCTAATGGCTTCAATAATTTTGGCATCACTAATTTGGCATAAATACTACAATAAGATCAGCAATTCTGGATTTTCTAATCTTTGTGCCTAATACAGATTAGTGGCTGGGATAGTATTGAAGTCTGTCATGGTGAGAAAACTAGTATTTTTAGAAGGCCAACAATTCCACTTCCCAAATGTTTTTCATAAACAGCCACCTTTGGCAAAGTTAGTGGTTTATTCTGCTCAATATATTGTTTTACTATTTAAAGAAAAATATATTCGCACATTTACAGTATGTAACAGAAATAAGTTAGTAAATTTCTATTTGAAATGTATTTAAATACCACTTGTCCTACAGAGGATTTACCCCCCTTTCTGGCCATTTTTTGCGTTACGGCGCTGCGTTTCTTTAACTGACAATTGTGCGGCATGCAACGCTTTACATAAATTAAATTTATGTAATTTTTCCCACAAATAAAGTTTTCTTTCAGTGGTATTTGATTACCTATGTGTTTTTTATTTTTTGCACTATAAACAAAAAAACCGACAATTTTGAAAAAAACTATATTATTGACTTTTTGCTATAAAACATATTCTATTAAAAAAAAATTTAAAAATCTAATTTCTTCATGAATTTAAGCCAAAATGTATTCTGCTGCATGTCTTTGCTAAAAAAAAAAATAATTCAGATAAGTGTATATTAATTGGTTTATGTGAACGTTATAGCATCTACAAATGGCTGTATAAGAACTGGAATATATATATATATATATATATATTTTTTACTAGTAATGTCGGCGATCAGACACTTATAGTGGGACTGCAGGACTGCGGAGGGCATTTTGACACTGGGTGGGAACTGACTAACTGCCACTGACATCCCCAGTAACATTAATACAGTGATCAGTGCTAATGAAAAGCACTGACATTGTACTAATGACACTGGGAAGGAAGGGGTTAACATCTGGAGCAATCCAAGGGTTAACATTGTGATGTGTGCTGTTTTACTTGGGAGACATGCTGCTTTGTATCTCTCTGCTGTGCATATGACGTCCTCTCAGATCATGCCTCGACAGTGCCCACAGGGCCGTGCTGTGGCGAGATCTTTCAGCGGCTGTGTCCTTTGGACACAGCCATTGTCAGATCTGTATGCTGGCCTATTGCCAATACCATGTGACTGCTGTGACCAATCACAACAGGTCACATGACAACTGTAAACAATGGATGGCTTCCTTTCATGCCATCCATTGTATAAAATTGTGTCACTAGCTGAGATTGGTCACAGTGATTACATGGCACAGACTGGGCCAATCACAGCTAACCACAACAAAAAAACCTGCATGAATCGATTTCACTCAGTTAAATGCTTGCTTATAGCAATTAAATTCTTTGATGTAAGCAATCACATGGTGTGAAAAAATACTGATCACTACTATGGTAACATTATGCTACTCTGGATACAGTGTGGTATGAATAAATAATTATAAAAAAAGAGAAAAAAAACTGTAATTTATTTTTGTACTGTCACCAGTCAGTGCCCCTGATCACTGCCACTCCAGTTATATGATGACACTGTACTGCACTGGCAGTATGAAAAAAAAAATCTTTTAACTACCTGCCGACCGCAGATAGCCGAATGACGGCTAAACTGCGGCCGGCCAGTTCTGGGTGGACGTCATATGACGTCCCCCCAGAACACGCTCTCCTAAGCGCCCCAGGGGGCGCGCACCCGGCGATCTCCGTGATCGCTGTGTCCTACGAACACAGCTGATCACGATATGTGGTAAAAGGCCAATCATACCGGCCTTTTACCACGTGATCAGCGGTGTCCAATGACACGCTGATCACAGGGAAATGCAAGTGCCGGTTCTCGGCTGCACTTTCCTCACGCTGTCAGATCGTGAGGAAAGTACTGCCGAGAACCGGCAGTTGTCAGAGCGAGGATTGGCACCGATCATCAGGGCACTGATGAACAGTGCCCTGATGATCGGTGCCCAGCAGTGCCACCCACAAGTTCCGCCCACCTGTGCCCAGCAGTGCGCCCACTAGCTCCGCCCACCTGTGCCCAGCAGATCACCCACCTGTGCCCAGCAGTGCACCCACCTGTGCCCAGCAGTGCACCCACCTGTGCCACTCTGCAGTGTCACACACCTGTGCCCAGAAGTGCCACCTACCTGTGCCAGGCAGTGCCACCCACCTGTGCCCACCCACCTGTGCCCACCAGTGCCACCCACCTGTGCCCACCAGTGCCACCCACCTGTGCCCACCCATCAGTGCTGCCCACCAGTGCCACCCACCAGTGCAGCCCAGCAGTGCTGCCAGTCAGTGCCACCAGTCAGTGCCCAGCGGTTGTGCCAGTCAGTGCCGCCAGTCAGTGCCCAGCAGTGATGCCAGTCAGTGCCGTCTATCAGTACCCATCATCAGTGTCACCTATCAGTGCCGCCTATCAGTGCTGCATATTAGTGCCGCCTATCCGTGACACCTCATTAGTGCTGCCTATCAGTGCTGCCTATCCATGCCACCTCATTAGTACTGCCTATCAGTGCCCTTTAGTGCTGCCTATCAGTGACCATCAGTGCCGCCTATCAGTGCCCATCAGTGCTGCCTCATCAACGCACATCAGTGAAGGAGAAAAATTACCTGTTTGAAAATTTTTATAATAGAAACAAAGAAACTTTTTTTTTTTTTCAAATTTTTTGCACTTTTTTAATTTATAGCGCAAAAAGTAAAGTGCCCAGTGGCGATTAAATACCACCAAAAGAAAGCTCTATTTGTGAGAAAAAAAAGATCAAAATTTCTTATGGGTACAATGTTGCATGACCGTGCAATTGTCAATCAAAGTGCGGCAGCGCTGAAAGCTGAAAATTGGCCTGGTAAATAAGGGGGTATAAGTGCCTGGTAGGCAAGTGGTTAATGTCTTAATTTTCCAAAAAATGATGACAAAAAATTAAAACTTCACAAAACTCGCCATACCTCTTACTAAATACATCAGACTGTCTACTTTGCAAAAAGGGGTGATTTGGGGGATACCTGTGCTGTCCTGACATTTTTGGGCCTCAAGAAATTAGATTGCCCGTCAGTACTTCAGGATTGATCGATTTTCAGATGCTGTATATGCCATAGTTTGTGGACTAAATAACTTTCCTACAGACTAAATAATAAATATTTGTGTTATTTTCACCAAAGAAATGTAGCAGAATACACCTTGGCCTAAATTTATGAAGAACAATTATTTCTTTGCAAAACTTTATTACAGAAACGAAGAAAAGCTTTTTTTTCAAAGTTTTTGGTCTTTTTTCAATAATTTAGCAAAAGAACTCATTGATGATTAAATACCACCAAAAGAAAGCTCTAGCTGTGTGAACAGAATGATAAAAACTTAGTTTGGGTACAGCTTTGCATGGTTGAGCATTTGTCATTCAGAGTGCTGGAGCGTTGAAAGCTGAAAATTGGCATGGGCAGGAAGGGAGTAAAAGTGCCCGGTATTGAAGTGGTTAGGACACACATACAATTATGTTGAGTATAGTCATTAAAAGCATGTTATGCCTTCACTTGTGCACCTCATCTACTGCCCCCTGCCAGGAGAACACAATAGCCCAATGGTTGCAAAAAAGAAAATCACACTATCTATGGCCGGCTTAACCACTTAATAGAAGGATTGACAGTAACACAAAAAAATTGAAGGGTTCTAGGTTATGAGACATATACTTGTATGTTGATCCGGACACAAATCATGCTGAAATCATTGATTCACCAGAAAAATTGACCACTTGAGCTTTGACATGTTAATCTTCTTTGTATTAATAAGGTTTATTCAAAATATATGAAATGTTCTAAGTTATAAAAGAAAAATATCTGATTTCAACATTTTGATGTCTATATGTGCAGTACTGTGCACAAGTTTTAGACAGGTATGAAAATGCCTGTGCTTTAAGACATAAATATTTTACTTGTATATTTTCATCAATTTAAAAAATGAAAAAGTGAGTGAACAGAAGGAAAATCTGAATCAAATAAACATTTGAATACCTCTTGGCTTCAAAACATCAATTCTTTTAGGTACACTAATACACATAGTCTTTGAAAGAAATCAGCAATAGTTAGCAGAATGTTTACTATTTGTTTTCAAATTAAATTAAATATTCAAATTTCTATTTGAATTCCTATAATTCATTATACCGGCCAAAATGTTGTTTCTTTATTTCAAATCCATTTAAATTTGTTACTATTGTAATTTGAAAATTTGGATACATCAGAATCTCTGAATAATGAAAATTTCATCCGAATTTCGAATCAGAATGAAACGAACCACACATGTCTAGAAGCTTTACAATCACTTTAAGCCTCATTCACAAGGGCACGTAATTATGTGCATTTATAAGACATTTGTAAATATTTATAAATGCATGTAATGATTTTAAATGATATAATGCACCCTGTGCATTTACTTGCATTTAGATGAATTCAATTTAGCTCAGTACAGAAAAAAATTAAATCTGTGCATCCAGGGGCAGATTAGATACTATGAATGTGTGTAAATGCATATAAATGTATGTTCATTTAAACACAGGAGAAATCGATCTAGAACAGTGGTCTCCAAACTCTGGCACGGGGACCAAATGTGACCCTTTGCCTGCTTTTATGTGGCCCTTGGGACACTATTTCATCCATTATGTTCAGCAGACTGTGTTCTTCTATTGTTGTGACTTACATGACGTTCAGAGCACATTTTATGCCCAATTCATGCAAAACTCTACGTAATACCAAGGGGTTCACATACGTTTTCTTGCAACTGTATGTGGCTTATGGCCAAAGTTAAAAAGGCTATAGATAATAAGAAAAGAGCTTTTATTCCATGTAAACATAAAGGAACACTATCAACATTTAAACATTACAAAGAATATAACAGAATATGCAAAAAGGAAATAAAGGCTGCAAAAATTGAAAATGAATGACAGATTGCAAAAGATAGCAGGACCAACCCCAAAAAATTCTTCAAATATATTAATAGTAAAAAGGTCCGGTCCGAGCATGTAGGCCCTTAACAAAATAATTTAGAGTGGGTGACTGGGGACAAAGAGAAGGCAAATTTATTTAATACCTTCTTCAGCTCTGTGTATATAAAGGAGCATGGGGGAGCTCTTATCCATAATGGCCATGGTATTGACACAGCCCCAGATGATCCACATTGGCTCACAATTGATATGATCCAAAACTATTTAGACAGAATAAAGGTGAATAAAGCACCTGGACCGGATGGCATACTCCCATGGGTCCTTAAAGAATTGAGCTCTGTCATTTCAAAGCCATTGAAACAGAAATAATTTGCACTAGTAAATAAATACAAATGAATACCCCCAAAACAATGATAAATATAAACATAAATAAATAAATAAATAAGTGTCCAAAAAAATGTCCAGAATAATGTGTAAAAATCAATAAAGTCCAAAGGTGAAGCAAAATGTGACAATCCACCACCATATATACTAAATAAACTCACCAGAGCTGAATGCTGATGATAAATCAGCACAAAACGCTAATTGCTCTGGGAGCGATGGTCAGCAGGATGTTGAGCCACTAGTAGATTGATCTCCAGGGGGTGATAAACTGCAGAAACCAGCTCAAAATAACGACGATGTAAAGGAAGCAATGATCTGTAATCGAATATACCACTAAGGACATCCACTTCTCCTAGACTCCACCATATCCATATCCAAAGAGTATTAGGCCAGACACTTGGAAAAGAACAACAACAGCAGCTTCATAGTGCAGGACACACAGCTAATTTGTAAGGTGAAGTCTACAGGCTTGGAAAAATCCATATGTAAATGGATAGAAAACTGGCTAAAAGATCGTATTCAGAGAGTAGTGATTAATGAATCATACTCTTAATGGTCTGGGGTCATCTGTGGTGTACCCCACGGTTCAGTGTTGGGACCCTTACTTTTTAATATATTTATAAACAATATAGGGTCTGAGATTAAAAATCCCATTTCAGTCTTTTCAGATGACACCAAGCTATGCAGTGGAATAACGTCCTTACAGGATGTCTCCAACTTACAAGCCGACCTCAATGCACTCTTTAATTGGGCAACTATGTGGCAAATGAGATTTAATGTTGATAAATGTAAGGTTATGCACTTGGGAGTTAAGAATATGCACGTATCATACATACTGGGGGGGTACTACTGGAGGAATCAATAGTGGAGAAGGATCTGGGAGTTCTGGTAGATCACAAGCTTAATAATGGCATGCAATGCCAAGCTGCGGCTTCAAAAGCGAGCAAAATCCTCTCTTGTATTAAAAGAGGTATAGATTCCAGAGAGAGAGATATCATATTACCCCGGTACAAATCATTAGTAAGACCTCATCTGGAATATGCAGTTCAGTTTTGGGCACCAAAAAGAACATTGGGGAACTTGAGAAAGTACAGAGAAGGGCAACCAAACTGATAAGAGGCATGGAGGAGCTCAGCTATGAGGATAGATTAAAGGAACTAAATTTATTCTCTCTTGAGAAGAGGAGATTAAGGGGAGATATATGATCAACATGTATAAATACATCAGTGGTTCATATAGTGAACTCGGTGTAGACCTATTCACCCTGAGGTCATCACAGAGGACAAGGGGGCACTCTTTACGTCTGGAGGAAAAGAAATGTAATCTCCAATTTAAAGAAATTTCATCTCCAAACACGGAAAGGTTTCCTCACAGTGAGAGGTGTGAAAATATGGAATAGGTTCCCTCAAGAGTTGGTTCTGGCCAGCTCAGTGGATTGCTTCAAAAAAATCCTGGATTATTTCTTAGATACACAGAATATAACTGGATACCAACATTTATAGGTAAAGTTGATCCAGGAAATATCCAATTGCCTCGCAGGGGATCAGGAAGGAATTTTTTCCCAGCAGGTGCAAATTGGATCATGCTTTGCTGGGGTTTTTTTTGCCTTCCTCTGGATCAACTGTGGGTATAGGATTATAACTTTTTTTTTTCTATGGTTGAACTGGATGGACTTTTGTCTTTGTTCAGCCAGACTAATTATGTATGTAACTATGTAATTTCTTCTGTGTTTAAGTAAAACAGATACAGAAGACCTGTGTGAATGAGGGCCTTGGCATGAGGGCTACCAAGAACCATGAAAAGTTTGCATGCATTGTTCTTTTGTGTGAATAAAACAACAGGAAGACAGAAAATATTTATTCAACATTTAAAATCCTTTTTCTCGGTTAAATTGTAAAATACTCAAGCCCTTTTGTTTTGGACAGTGTTTTTTATTGCTCACTGTACAAGTAACTTTTCTTACACCTAAAAACAAAATTGGATGAAATTACGCTTTTAGACTCAAGTAAAAGCTAACTACCTTTGTCAATATTAGCAGAGATTTCTTATTAAACACTCTAGTCTACACCTGTTTGTTTTCATGCAATGGACAGAATTGTCCTCTTTAATGAAATGCTATTCTATGACATAGTGAATGGTG